AAGTGCCCGACTTTATCAAACGTTATAGCGTAGAAAGGAGCCAAAGCCAATGCAAGAAGGGTAAGACGTCAGAGCTAGAGGGATTATTGGATTTCCTATGTGTCTTCAATAACTTCCTCTACCCCAAGCAAAATAGTATGGGAGAGAGTTTGATAAGCATGTGACCACGCTCTTTCCTTTCTGGAAAAAGATGGGCGAGGTTTTAGTACCACCTAAGAAGAAATTGTAAAATTTATTGGAGAAACTTTCGCTGCAGTCTCTAGTAGCAGCAGTTATCCATCTGAATTTCTTCCTTACAAGCTACGCTCTGAGAAAATTCCCATTACTTTCAGCTCCTCCAACTCAGAGCCTTATAACGTTGATTTTAACATGGTTGAGCCAAAGAGAGCTCTGTTTAAAACACATAGATCTACCCCGGGTCCAGATTGTGTTAGTTATGAAATGCTGAAGCATCTGTCCTGCAAGTCATTGACTGCCCTCCTCACTCTTTATAATAGAGTGTGGGAGGAGCATACTTTTCCCAATGCATGGAAGAAAGCTGTAGTCATTCCCATGGCTAAGCCAGGGAAAGACCCGAAGAATTCCTCTAACTATCGGCCCATCGCACTTACCAGTTTTCTGTGCCAGCTGTTTGAGAAAATGGTAAATAGCCGCCTAGTCTACTACCTAGAAAAGAATTATGTTATTTCTCGATATCAATCTGGTTTCCGTAGAGGTAGGACACCTGCTGACAATATGTTACTTTTGGAAACCTCTATCCGTAAAGCCTTTGTAAAAAGAAATCACCTACTTTCCATTTTCTTTGACATTGAAAAGGCTTACGATAAGGCATGAAGATACGGCATTTTGCGAGATCTTTACGCTACTGGTTTGCGCGGCAACCTACCGATTTTCATCCAGAATTTTCCTGAAGGCAAGGACTTTTCAAGTGAGGATTGGCTCTGTGTTGTCAAAAAGCTTTCAACAAGAGGAGGGTGTGCCTCAAGGTTGTGTTTTAAGTGTTACTTTATTCACTCTAAACATGAACTCGGTTTTAAAAGAACTTCCTCTTTCGGTTTCAGGATCATTGTACTTGATGACCTTCAGATCAGTTGTCAAGGTGCAGATATGAGATTCGTGGAAAGACAACTGTAGATCGCTCTACACAGGATTCAGGAATGGGCAAATAGAATTGGTTTTTGGTTCTCTAAACAGAAGACTGTTTGCATGGAGTTTTGCAGAAGGAAAGGTCTCCATCCTGAACCTGAGCTTTATTTTCAAGAGTCACTGATTCACTGCCCCTCAGGGGGCTCACTTTTGTGAGTACGGGTGTGGCAATCCCGAGGTACCCTAGCCATTCAGGGGATCATCTTCTTGGTGAGACGGGTGTCACGATCCTGGAGCCCCAGTGATCTTTCCTCTTTTCCGTCTCCTCTCCTCTTAGCCGGAACTTTTTCCCTTCCCTTCTCCCTTGTGGTTTCTCTCTACGAGTTTGGGCTCGTCGAGGGCGGAACACCTTTTTCAGTTTCGAGGCGAGAAACTGCCCAGTTGCCTGCTGAGACCCTGTCGTGAGAGGGTCCCGGTATTGAGGGGCAGCTGTGGAAGCTGTTACTAATACTATTATTCAGGCAGCTATGCTTTCGATTCCTAGAACATCAGGAAAAATACTAAATATTCGAAACCATGGTGGAATCGCGACTGTCATGAAGCACTGAAAAAACAAAAAAAGCATGGGGTATTTTTCGTAGATATCCTACTCTGCGAAACCTCATAGCATTTAAAAGAGCCAAAGCAAATGCACGAAAAGTAAGAAGGCAGAGCCAGAGGGATTCCTGGATTTCATATGTGTCGTCAATAACATCCTCTACGCCTAGTAAGCGGGTTTGGGAAAGAGTTTCGAAAAGCATGCGGAATATATAAAGACCACTCACTTTCCTTTTGGAAAAAGATGGCCGAGTGATTAGCTCCATAGAAGAAATTGCGAATACTATTGGTGAGACATTTGCTGCCGTTTCTTCCAGCAGAAACTATTCACCTGCATTTCTCTCTATCAAGCAGCACTCTGAAATAAATCCCATCGCATTCAACTCTTCCAAATCTGAGCCTTACAATAGAGACTTTACTATGCTTGAATTAAAGAGAGCTTTATTGCAGACACATAGGTCTTCTCCGGGTCTTGATGGCGTGAATTATGAAATGCTAAAGCATCTGTCCTATAAGTCACTGAATGCCCTTCTCACTCTTTACAATAGAGTGTGGAAGGAGCGTACCTTTCCCAGTGCATGGAGGAGAGCTGTTGTCATTCCTATTGCTAAGCCAGGGAAAGATCCAAGGAATCCCTCCAACTATCGGCCAATTGCCCTTACGAGTTGCCTATGCAAACTGTTTGAAAAGATGGTAAACAGCCGCCTAGTCTACTTCTTGGAAAAGAATAATATTATATCGCCTTATCAAAGCGGTTTTCGAAAGGGAAGAACAACCGTAGATAACATGCTCCTCTTAGAGACATCTATTCGAAAAGCATTTGTAAGAAGAAGCCACCTTGTCTCGGTATTCTTCGACATTGAGAAAGCTTATGATAAGGCATGGATATACGGTATGCTTCCGGAACTTCGCGAGAGTGGCTTGCGCGGCAACCTACCAATTTTCATTCAGAATTTCTTGAACACTAGAACTTTTCAAGTAAGAATTGGCTCTGTTTTTTCGGATGTTTTTGAACAGGAAGAAGGTGTGCCTCAAGGCTGTGTGCTTAGCGTAACCCTGTTTAGTTTAAAAATAAACTCTGTATTAAAAGAACTTCCTCCCACCATCTTGGGATCTCTTTATGTTGATGATTACAGATTAGCTGTTGAGGGGCAGACATGAAATACGTAGAGAGGCAACTTGCAGATGGCTCTGAATAAGATCCAAGAATGGTCAGAACAAACAGGGATTTACTTTTTCGAAACAGAAAAACTGTGTGCGTGCACTTTTGTAGGAAGCGAGGTCTCCATCCTGAACCTGAGTTATATCTGAATGGTACAATTATTCCAGTTGCGCCTGAAGTAAAATTTTTAGGAGTGACGTTCGACCGAAAATTGACTTTCCTTTCTCATGTTTTAAACCTGAGAAAGAAGTGTCTAAAAACACTAAATATTTTAAAAGTGTTGGCGAACACCTCCTGGGGTGCAGAGCGTTGCTCCATGCTTCGCATTTACAGAGCGCTTATCCGCTCTAGACTGGACTATGGCTCAGTTGTTTATGGATCCGCTCGGTCATCTGTTTTGTTAAAACTGGATCCTGTTCACCATCAAGGTCTCTGCGGATTTGTTCAGGAGCTTTCAGGACTTCTCCTGTCCAGAGCCTATATGTTGACTCTAACGAACCATCACTTTATCTGAGGCGTGAGCAATTGTCCCTTTTGCAATATTTTAATATTCTATCCCAACCTGAACATCCCAATAAGCTGTGCTTACTTGATAATGAGTGTAACACATTATTTGAAACACGTCCATCCTGTGTTCCTACTTTTCCTTTAAGAGTTCGCCCTGTCATTGAGGAACTTTCCCTCTCTGATATGCACCCCCAAGCAGTACAGAATTTTGAAATTCCACCTTGGGAAAATTCACGGATTCAGCTTCTTGATGTTTTCAAACATCACGTGAAGGCGAGCACTAACGAGATCGTTTACAGACAACTCTTCGCTGAGCACAGGCACAGATATAGCAGTTATTATCCGATATACACAGATGGATCAAAGTCAAATGATCATGTCGGGATGGCTTTTGTATTTGAAGATTACATTGAGGGCAGATGCCTGCACCATGCTTTCTCAGTCATAACATCTGAACTTAACTGCAATATATTATGGTCTTTTGTACATCTCAAAGCTCTGCCACAAAAAGTTCATAGTTTATACAGACTCGTATAGTGCTCTTAAATCGTTGGAAGCTTTTCCCAACACTCAGAATCCTGTGGTAGTGGATGTTCTCAAAATTCATATAAACTTAACGATTCGAGGATATGAAATCCTGTACTGCTGGGTTCCTGGACATGCTGGGAATAAAGGGAAACGAGCTTGCAGATATCGCAGCAAAATCTGCTGTTGAACTGTCCAGTCGCCTTATCCCTTTTAGAGACATCTGCTGTGTCATCAAGGGAAAGATCCGAAAAAAATGGCAGCAAATTTGGGACGTTCAGCTTCACAACAAGTTGAGAAATGTAAAGCCTAGAATTGAGCATTGGGATTTTGCTGGAAATCGTAAAGAGGACGTTCTTTTGACTCGCCTCAGAATTGGTCACACTAGAGTCACACATAACTATCTTCTTAAAGCTGAAAATGAGCCTGTTTGTTTTAAATTGTAATGTTTGTTTATCTGTTCGTCATATTTTAATTGAGTGTCCATGTTTTAATAGTCTTCGCCAGAAATATTTTAATAGCTGTGACTTACCTCTCGACCGTTTAATCGGAAGAGAGGTCAATTGTAATTTATTTTGTTATTTAAAAGAGATTGGCTTTAATTACCAAATGTAATTTGTTTTGAAGACTGTGTCTTGAATTTTAATATGTGCTTTTAACTTGTGTTTTTATGACTTCATCCTCTGCAATTGGTACATTTATCTACTTGTTTTTATTTATTGAATTTTAATTTCATGAATTGTAATCATCTCATTTTTTGTTTGGCGCGTCATAATCATCTCTGTTTTTTGCGCCATAATCACTCACTCACTCACTGATTCACTGATTTTAGAAGTCAAATTTCTGGAAGGTGATATAATATTATTTTTTTCCAAGAAGTAGACTAGGCGGGTGTTTACCATCTTTTCAAGCAGTTTGCATATGCAACTGGTAAGAAAACAAGTTTTGAACTGTGCAACATACAAAATAACTGATATACAGACATTTATTGGATAAATGTATGTGTGTATATCAGTTAAAACAACACGATGCCTACAAAGTCAACAGAAATGCTAAGACGATGAAAGCTGAGGTGAAACGTAAAAATACATGGAATGATATGAAATTTGAAACATGAGTTAAATTAAAAAAGCTGAGGATGCATTAAAATACACAACGTGCAGACATCAGAACAAAATCGAATTAAATTATAAAGACCCGCCTCTTTCAGGTAGAGAAATAAATAGGTATTGGCCTCTTTCCCGATTATACGCTCAAGAGGCAAGTCATAATCGTTAAAATACTTGAGACGAAGTTTGTTAAATTGTGGACATTCTGCTAAAAAGTGATGTACAGAGAAAACACTATTACAATGTTCACAAACAGGTTCATTCTCCGCTTTTAACAGACGACTGTGCGTAATTCGAAAATGACCAATTCTAAGACAGGTTAAAATTACTTCCTCCCTCCGGTTTCTAGTGGCTTTCCAATATTCTACTTGAGGTTTTACCCTTCGCAACTTATTAGTGAGTTGATCATTCCAGAATGCTTGCCATTTACTGAAGATTCTCTGCTTGATGACTTTCTTCATGTCTCGGTAGGGGACGAGGCGACGTGACCATTCCTCAGCAGACTTTGCAATGATATCTGCCAACTCATTTCCTTGTATGCCCACATGTGCAGGGACCCAGCAGTAGAGGATCTGATATCCTCGCCTTCTCAACTTCAGATTTATATTTTGGATTTCGTCAATTAGGGGATTCCGAGCTTCCGAGATTGATTCTAGAGCTTTTAGTGCACTAAACGAGTCGGTATAAATAGTGAACATTTTCTGGCACTGTCTATATATAAAAGAAAGTGCATAGTACAAAGCAGTTAGTTCAGAAGTAAGCACAGAGCATGCCTCGTGTAAGTGCTTACCCTCCGCATGGTTTCCAGTCACAAAGACTGCTCCGACATGATTTGCTCCTTTTGATCCATCTATGTAAATGGGCATATAACTGCTGTACTTATCTCTGTGCTAAAAACAAAAACGTTTGCTTATACATGATCTCGTTAGTGTTACATTTTCCAAGATGCTAGAATACATGCAGTACATGAATCTGAGCATCCTTACAAGGAGGGATCTTAAAATATTTAACTGGCTGGATATCCACCTTGTCTATGCAATATTTTCCTTATAAGGGAGCGTACCATTACGCGGAAAGAAGGCACACAAGATGGACGCGCTCTAAATAAGTGGTCGCACGTGTAATCAAGCAAAAGACTCTGACATGGATGATGGACTTGGGATATTATGTTGAAATAACAGTGGAGAGACAACTGGTCACCTCTCACCTGGAGTGATGGTTCATAGCAGTCAACATAAAGACTCTGAACTAGGGATATCCTGAATGGTCCAGAACATATCCGAAGAGCCTGATGGTGAATAGGATCTACTTTCAATAAAACCGAAGATCGTGCTGATCCATAGACAACTGAACCATAGTCCAACCTGGAGCGG